TCTATATCTATATATATATCTATATCTCCAGCCTCTAATATAGTGCCTGCCACTTAGGAGAATCTCTATAAATGTTAAATGGATAATTTATATTCTGTTGGTAGGAATCTTTAACAAGAGGTTTTGTGTCATTTTCTACATTATTCTCAGAGCACTGTAGCGCTCTGCAAAATTAGAATTCACTGAATATTGGCAAATATGAGAACAATTATGAGATAGTATCAAGTGAATGCCATTGTGGAGCAGAAGACAAGGGAAGCTGAATAAAGAGAATGAACAGAGTGCAGTAGGATATCAACAAAATGTGAGAATGGGGTCCGATGGGGAAGGAAGTGATAGCTAGAGGAGAGAAAGAGTGAGGAACGAAAAATAACATTAGCACTGTGGTAAGGGAAGAGATTAGCCGAACAGAAAGATCTGAAGGAGAAAGATTTTGAAAATGCTTTCTGCAGTCTGTCCCTGAGAAAACAGGTGGAGAAGCCAGATAAGAGGCCCTTTAAGTAATCCAGCCCTTTGACAGCAATGCATCACTAGGCAAATTATGGGTTGATTGTGAAATCAATACAAGAATGCAAATGTTGATTTGACAATAAAATTTGTGTAGGCTTTGAGGAAGTGATGTGTCCTATAAATGGCACCTGGCAGGGCTATGTAAATACAGTGGCTTCATGCTCTTGGTCAGAAGATAGTAGCTTTAGCCTGAGTGATTTCCTTCATCAATATTACAAACACAGCATCCTTAGAGTTTGAATCTCTGAGTAATAGGGAAGAACAAGCCTTGAATTCACTCAGAGGAGAACCCAGATTTTTCTAGAAAATAATTGTATGTTTAATCATAGATTCACCCATCCCCTACCCAAATCCCTTGAGTATCAATTCATACCACAGTATTTATATCGTTGCTTATCTGCCTAAAACTACTGAGCTCTGTTAAGTCTGTAGTAATACTTCTTGAGCAACCAGACTTTAAGCACATCAGTAATAGAAGTGAAAAGGACCTGACAGATCACAGCAATTCTCTAGGCTGCCCCTGCCCCTTCACTATCACTTTTTTTTCCAATGATGAAACAGAGGTTCATTGACTTGTACAAGATCGCAAAGGTGATCATTACAGGTAGCGTTGCTACTGGGCTCTTTCTACGCAGCCCATCTAATTACCATGAGTCCAAAGCCCCCATTACCATCGCGATCCCCAGATTTTCATTCCTTCGTTCATTCTTATTTCAATTCACTAAAATATACCCTGGAAAAAAAAACTGTTTTAATAGTAGCATTTACATATATGTCAAAGATTCATAGATTCACTTTGCTTTTTTCTTGAAATATTTTTTATTTGGCTAAGAAAAACTAATGGCCTCAATAATAAATCATATACAGAATAAAACCCAAACGTATTTTCATCTACTGTGATATATGGAGAAATAACTATTTATATCATCTGCATGTGACTGCATTCACTTTTATACAGTTATATATAAATAATATTCTATTATCTTATTCTAATTAGATATAGAGGTAAGATACCTTTTGCATACTTTATTGGCCAGATTTGATACATTTTAAAACTATTCTCGTAAAAGTGGCTGTCATGATATTTCTATGGAATAGTGGGGATAAAATTTTCTTTTATTCAAATTATTATTTTAAATCTTGTTGAAAGAGCCCTTATTCTCAGATAAATTTTTATAAAACATCACATAGGTAGGAACATGGCTACATTCTTTTGGTCAAAAATGAAAATATGATCAAAATAAATCTGTTAAGGAATTCTTAAAACAACTTTCCCATAAACAACTTTTTGGGGTGTAACTGAAGTACAGTAAAGTACATGTATTTAAGTCTGTAATTTGATTATTTTTAATATATATATACTACTATAATTAAAACATCATCACAATCAAGATAACAAATGTATTTATCAACTCTCAAAGTTTCTCGAATCGTTATAATCCAATTCTCTCTCCAACATATCTCTAGCAATCATTGATTAGCTTTCTGTCACTATACGTTACTTTGTATTTTCTAGAGTATTATATAAGTGAATTAACAAGTACTCAATGAGTACTTTTTTGGGAAGGGGGGACTAACTTTCACTCAACACAATAAATTTGTAATTTATCCATGTGGGCGTATGCATCAATAGTCCGTTCCTTTTTATTGTGAACAATATTTCATTGTGAAAATGAACTAGAATTTGTTCATTTATTGACCTGTTGATGGACATCTTGGTGTTTGTTTGTTTTGTTTTGTTTGTTTTCAGAATAAAATACATATTCATTTCTTTCTGCTCAATGTTCTTAGGAAAATGAATAGTCTCTCAGATCCTCATTTTGCTCTTCTATAAACAACTGAGATTAATGTCTTCCTCCTAGGAGTTTTGCAAGGATTAAACCACTAAACACATTGCCTGACACATAATAAATACTCAATAAATATTAACTTCTAAGTTATCACTTAATTGCTTTACTGGCATCAGTTATGAGGTAACACTTTCTTCCTGTTAAAATGCTTTCATTTTAAAATCATGTCTGTGTCTACTTAACTTGAACATTATCACAATTCTAGCCCAATTGTCTGTCCAACAAACAGGGGTACCAATACAGTTGGCTTCTTAAAGTACAATCCTTCTTTGGGATTCTATATTGGCTTCTATAACTAACTGATGACAATTTTTTCTAATGTATACACACACGCCCAGGCTAGCTAACAGAATGTCTATGTAGGTAGGACATGGAGACAATAATCAGGCTAAAAAGGGGCCTGTTTCTAGAAGCTTAGAAGCTGTGTTTGCATCGTAAATGTTCTATTTTAAATGAGATGACATGTTCATTTGTGGAGCTTGTGGGGAGGTACAGTTGAAAAGGATTATAGATTTGGGGAAGCAACTAAACTCCCAGTCTGCCCACTGATGATGCCAGTTTAGTTATCTTTGTTTTCTTTTTCTGAATTATTGTTTCTTCACTGAATCTCCTTTAAAATGTGCCCACACTGAATTTTTCTGCCCAAATCAGAAGTCTTCCATTAAAATATAAGTAAATAAATAAACAAAAAAAAAAGTGTCGATTTTCTCTTTCTTCATAAACATTGTGTCCAACTAAGCTACTGAATCTAGTTCTGTTGGCAGATGGTGGTGGACAAAAGAATTTTAATTCCCCCTCATGGATATTATGAGTAGAAGTTGCATCTCGGGCTGAGCACCATGCTAATAAGGCCAAGCCAACACATTTGATGGTCAATGGGACTGGCTTGGTTTGCTCTAACACCAGTTCTACTAACTTAAATTTGATTTTATTGATGTAGGTTTTTGTTCACCCAAAAAGAGTGCTGGTGGTTGTATGTGGAGGTGGGGTGGAATGGAGTTAGTAATTGATCAGTGATTTTGTGAATGAAAAGAGCATATACCCTAGAGATGATTAGTTGGCAACATCATTTCTGTATAAGGAAGATTGTATTATGTTGCCATTAGTTTCTTGATGGAATTAGAAACTACAGAGTAAAGGTATGCGGCCTATGAACTTGGAAGTCTTCTGGCATATACGGTACTGTCCACATATAAGGGTCACATAATTTAATTGATTAAAACAACTACAAAGGAATGACCTTTGTCTTCACTACTCAGAGAAGTGGAGACTATTTATTTCATTTTTGTACCTTACTGATTAATAGGAATGTGCACTCCATCAAAAAAGGTTTTCATGGAAAAGTTCATGAGTAGAATAATATAATGCTTTTATATTTTATCAGGATAACACGGTAATATGCAGAAATCTACAAATGCAGATACCTCTGCGGAAACACCGAGTTCCACCCGCCAAGGCACCGGAGCTGTGCAGATGAGAATCAAAAATGCCAACAGCCACAGTGACAGGCTGAGCCAAACCAAATCCATGATCCTCACTGATGTTGGGAAGGTCACTGAACCTGTAAGTCAAATACCTCTAATACCCCAAGTTCCTTAATATCAAATTTTGTAAAAAAAAAAAAAGAATTAGTCCTGTTTTATTCGTTTTCCTAATGTGCATGAGAAAACTGTTTTCGTAATATATTTTATCTTGCCTACTTATAGTCATAATAATATTCCCAGTTCTGAGAGAAGAGATGGACTTAATCCAGAGTGATAAAGTGGATTTGGAGCTAGACTGAAGAGCACCTTTGACTCATTTTAAGGGCCTTCACTATCATGCTTCAGTGTCATAAAAATAATGAGGTTATGCTAGCATGTGGTGTTTGTACTTCCAAATACAGTACATCACTTTGAAAAGCCAGAGGCTAAATTTAGCTAAGAATGAACTGAGAAATAAAAGTCTTTTTTAAAAAAATGTGAAAATCTCTTTCTTAAAATCTCCCAGCCATACACGATGTTGGAAATTAGGATTTGATTTGGAACGAACTTAAACAATTGAAATGGTGTGGCGATTGAAGGTTTGGGGAGGAAGCCATTTTGTCTCGATAATGTGTCATTAGGAAGATTTGAAATAAAATAGTTAGAGATGAACTCTACTGCCAATTGTGTCCCTGCCCCTGCACGCATCCTGAGCCACTAAACACACTGATTGTGATGAGTCTCCTCTGGTTAATTTCCTTCCATAATGGTGGTAACTTGCAGCTGAGGCCATAGGATGTTACAAAATTATTTATGCAATGTTAGCCACTCTTTTGGACCCTAGACCTATTTTGTTTCTCACAGTGAGAGAAAGAGCGAGAAATAGGTTAGCTGGGGACAGGCTGCAAGTTCCAGTCACCCTGCAGAAACATGTGAGCTATTAATTGTATGTTCTGTTAGTATTGTAGGGGCCTATGAAATATTCAGCTTCCTAACTGAGTTATTAAATGAGATAAACTTGCTGAGTAGCATGTTACCGATTATATTTATTCCCTGTTTTTCACTCGAATTTCAAGGGCAAAATTAATGCACAATGATCTCAGGAGCCTGAGAAATATATGATTTTAATCATCCTTTCTTCAGGTATTACAAACAAATTTAGTATGAGGAAGCCAGTGATTATATTCTGAGAGTGAGAAGTACATCCTTAGATAAGGTTACTCAGAGATGCATTTTTCTTTATTTACTTTCTCATTTAAAAGCATTGTCTGCTGGGAGGCACAACACTGCCAGCCTGACTCTGCTTTCAAACCCGCTAAAATGTTCCTCAACTATGAACTTGAGACAGTGGTTAGAGTAAATTATTGGAATCTCTATAATGTATTATCAGTAAGAACTGTACCTTTGAAAAAGTTTAAAAGTTAAGTGTATTTAATGATGCCTAACATATTTTATTGGCTGTGTTTAACAAAAGGCACTATGCCGCAGTTGTTTTTGACAAGCATGAAAACATCACAGCATGAGACTGCAAAAGGAATTATGGAGAGAAATTACAAGTGATCCATCTCTCAATGAATTATCCACCTCAATAGCCCGCAGAACTCAGCTACCAATTAACACCTACTTTATTACATGTTGGGATGTACTTAATAACTTTCATGTGTTTATGCACTATTACCTTGACTGATGCCTCTTGTACAATTAGGCATAATTGGCATATCAATATGCAAAAGTTAAAAGGATTAACCCTCTTAAAACTAATGAGCATTTCTGTATCCAGCTGCTAAATGAGACAAAATTAGCATTTTTCACTTTTGGGCAGGATTTTATCATGCAGTTTCTCATTGTTGATATTACCTTGTTACATAACTTTAGTTTGGGGGGTTATGTGCTGGGCTGCTAGAGAATAAGAGTTTTCCAAAGTTAAATTAGCTATAATTATCCCAGCTTTTGTTTCCTCATTCTTAGCCTGGGCAATATGTATTCCTCGATAAGGAGCAAAAATAAAAGTTACTTTTGGTTATGTGTGCTCAGTGCATAATTATATAAAAAGGGTATTTTAGTGAGGATATGTCATTTCACCGAGAAAACTTGGCTCAGAGATACTGTATTGAAAGCTTGCCATGGCACTAATTTTCTTTCTGTCTCAGTTCTTTTCATCTCTTTTTTCCATGCACAATTTTCTGACTAGATACTGACAGAATGTAAAGTATTTTGGCATATTTATTCAAACAAGCCTGTTAAAGATATCTACTCAAGCTAAACTAAGAACTTGATTTTTCAGAAGTTGGAGGTTGGGGTGAGGTCAAGGGAGGAGATTTTGAATTTAAGAGAAACAGGAGAAGATGTATTCTAAAAATGCGTGTACATGTTCATGTGTAGCGTGGTTTGTTATAACAGAGACACATACATTTATTTGTACAGAAAAAAATTAAGAGTACTTAGAGACTATATATGTTATACACTCTATTCAATATGCATGGCATATATAAATATAT